GGCATACCCGCCCGCCAAGGCTTCTCCCCACCACCGCCACCCACAACTGCAACAGCAGTGAGCCCTGTGCAGCTTTGAGCCGCCAGGCCCACCAGGCTTCTCCTCCCACATTACTGCCGACATCGACAACAGCAGCAACAATGGCCGCGGCTCCTAGCTGCGGGGCCTACCAGGCTTCTCCCTCCCAGCTGCCAGCCCGCCAGGGCTTCTCCACCTGCCCCCGCCACCAGTGGCGGTGATCCCTTCGCAGCTCTGCCACAGATCCCAGAGGTAAGTGCGTTCTCTGCACATGCGCAGGGAACGCTCTTTTACTTTGGGGGGAATTTAAGTATTCCCCCATATAGTTTTTTAAACTTTTCCGATTTTTCTGCACACCTGGGGACTGCTCCAAGTGTGCAGGAAAATCTCTCTGCCCCCAAGTGTCCCCGATGTGCGGATTTAGATATCCGCACGGAGGGGGCAACTTGGCTATGAGTTATATAGATGTTTGCTGGATTTCTGGGATTTGCACTAAATATGGATGACCCAATAAATGTGTATGAATGACACAAACTGCTGTATAGAAAACAGTTTCCCTACCAATAAATCAAGAACAGCATTATAATTAGAAATAACTAGATATTGTATACATCAGTGGTGTCGTCTGCATCTCTGTCTATCATTCAAAGCCATAAAATATTTTTGATCTCATTGGGCAGAAAGAGATCAGAAAAGTTGGGTTCAGATACAATGGCAAACCCATAGTTTGATGCTATGTGAAGAAGCATGGAGGGACCCTTGGACTAGTTCCTCCCCTATGCAATGTGAATTTACTAATTACTTCCTGGTTTGCAGAAGATTACATTCAGCTGTTGCATCTAAACCTCTGCTTGCTTTGCAAGCCAGGTTTGTAAGCTGCAGAGTTCATTCCCAGTTTGTAGTCCTGGCTTGGCAGGGCATGTGCAAGTCATAATTTGGAAGACCAGTTATCACAAACCAGGAAGAAAGTAACTAGCTCAGTGTTCATGAGTCAGTGTGAATCAATCTCTTTGCCTTGGGGTAGAACTTTTACAGTTACACCCTACTTAAGCCCATTGATCATCATGGATTTAGAAGGTTGTAAATTTGTTTAGGATTGCACTTTGAGTACCTTCCATTGCCTTTCAGTTCTCTTCATATATTATACTATATATCTAGATTATAATGTGCCTCTAGGGGAATCCTGGATATGGACTCTAGTAGTTCAAGCGAACAAGCTGTGTTGTGTCCTGATGGGGGAGGTTTAAGATATGTACAAATAGATGGAAGGTATACCAAGAGAGCTTAAGACTGGCTAAGCTCACATTCAAACAGTGGGTCTACCTGAAGCTTTGACTGGAGAGCTCTTTTAATGCTAATAATTTCATTTCCATTTTATTTTGTATGTATTTAAAACATTTTTTGCTGCCTTTCTACCCAGTCAGAGTCCACAAGGCGATGAATATATTAAAAAAAATAAAACATTTTAGCAATTAAAAACACATTTAAATTATAAAATTTAAGAATAATAAACACCGGAGGGAGGTCCAGTAACTGTTATTGGGAGTATGCCAGATGAAACAAAAGGTGTCACCTCTGCCAGAAGACACCAATAGAGGGAGACAGATGAAACTCTGTGGGGAGGAAGTTCCGAAGTTTTGGTGCCAAAACCGAGAAGGCCCTTTTTTGGTTTGCTACCTATCTAGCTTAAGATGGTGGGGGCAACTGAAGCAGGGCCTCTGAAGATGACCAGAGTATAGGAGGAGGTAGTCATTTAAGATCTGTTGGTCCCAGGCCATATAGGACTCTAAAGGTCAATACCAATACTTTGATTTGAATTAAAAAGGTATTGCATCATGTATTTTCTGTTATTGGTCTTCCAGTTAGATCTATAACTTCCAGATGCTTTTATTGATGATATTGGTGCACATAGAAGGGCTGTGTCCACAAATGCTGAAGTTTACTTTCACTGCTGTATGTACAAGCACATGACGGACAGTTTCTTATATGTTGCTGCTTCTCCATGCGTCTGAAACTTGTGTTTTTGTTTTATTTGTAGACTGATCTCCTATCAAGAGTTTCTGGCGTTCGAGTCAGTTTTATGCACACCAGATGCAATGTTCATTGTTGCCTTTCAGTTGTTCGACAAGAGTGGCACTGGAGAAGTGACCTTTGGTAAGAACATTGCTAAAGAGATTTCAACTATGAGGGGAAAGGCAGTGAGGACAGTTCTGGGGTATTTTAGAACTGTACGGTGCTAAAGAGATTTCAACTATGAGGGAAAAGGCAGTGAGGAGTCCCAATGTTCCCTCTAAGCTGTGGAGTCTTGTGAGCAAGAATTCTACCTTGTGAGCTACTGGCATTAAGGTTGTGAGCCAGCGATTTGGCTGCTGCATACATTAGTTTGCTCTGGAGCCCTCCTTCCTGAGCGGAGACAAAAATGTGCGAGCCAGAAGGTAAAAAATTGTGAGCTAGCTCACACTAACTCAGCTTAGAGGGAACACTGGTGAGGACAGTTCTGGGGTATTTTAGAACTCTCCCTCAAAATGAGGACAATGAGACAAAGTGTATGTTCTTCAAGTATCCTAGTAATTTACCTTGAAAATTGTTTTACTTCTTTTTCTTCAGAGAGTTGGCCGTGGCACACACACAAAAGGACTTGCGTAATCAAACAGTGTGATTACTGTAGCTCATTGCATACTTGATGCCAAGATATTCCTGAAATAGCTGGTGCAAAATAAACTTGTTTGTTCAAAGTCAGCCTAGGTAAATGCTGCCTGTGAACACTTTTGGGGCCAATACTGTTTTCAAGTGAGTTGAAATAGGATTTTTGGGGGGATGAGAGGATCGGCATGAGGTTGCTGCTTTAATGCCGTATTGGCCATCAGATCTTCAGGAAAGGATGACAGCCAGTCAGGGGGGCCATGTATTGACATCACTGCATGTAAATATAGCTGGAGTTAAAGGAAGGGCATTGGTTCATGGATTGGAGGTCTCTTGATCTATTTTCTTTTTAAAATCCTCATAATAACAAAGTAGATTAGGTTGAGAGATGGTAGCTTCTGGGAGACCATCCAAGGGGGACATGATGGGCACGTGGGGATTTTCAACCAAGCATCCCAGTTCCAAGGCCAACAGTTGATGCTACTACATTATTATTGACACATGGAATTCACTGCCACAGGAAGTGGTGGCGGCTACAAGCATGGACGGCTTCAAAAGGGAATTAGATAAGCATATGGAGCAGAGGTCCATCAGTGGCTATTAGCCACAAGGTATAGCTAGGGGCTCTGGGGCAAGTGATGCTCTGTCTTCTTGGTGCTTGGGGGGGGGGTCAACAGTGGGAGGGCTTCTAATGTCCTGGCCCCACTGGTGGACCTCCTGATGGCACCTGGTATTTCTGGCCACTGTGTGACACAGAGTGTTGGACTGGATGGGCCTTTGGCCTGATCCAGCATTGGTGTCTCCTATGTTCTTATGTTCTTACATGACATTGGTTAGTGTACATCTTGTTGAAACCCTGTGCATGGTGAAGCACAATTTGCCTATTCAGAGTTGGCTGTTCTCTCTGTGTTCCCTTAAGATGCAAGGAACAAGGGGGCGGGAAATGACAAGACTGACAGATAGAGCTCCAAAAGCCAGGCTTTTCTCTGACTACTCTGACACTCGAGTCCCCTGTCATTTTTATTTATTTACTTCCCCCCAAAGACTGTCCTAGGTCAGGTAGCTCACCAACAGCAGGCCCTCTTTGGTTAAAGCTATTGCCTGAGTTTATACTGAGAGATATAGCTTCTCGTGACCTTTGTTGGCTAAATTTTTGTTTTACCCCTGGAACAAATTAGCTGACTTCTCTCAGGACATTTAGCACCAATATTTAGAGGGAGGTACTGAACTCCAGAATTTTAGGATTTTTCCCCCTCCAGAAAACTGTGTTTCTACCATTACAAGTGTACATCAGAAAATATAATTGTGTCTCACTGTATAGCACCCACATATGGAAGATTCCCATACAGCTTAATGGAACTGTATTTCCTTCATCTGGGCAATGCACTGTGGGAATCAGGAATTCTGTGAGAACTTCCATATTGGCTTGCTGCCCACCTGTTTGCCCTTCCGACATAATATCAGTTACTTATGTTCTCATATGTCAGGGGGGGGAAACTTACATCATAGTTCTGACGCTGGGCATGCTGATTTGACTGTATTCCTACTTTTTTCAATTAAGCTGTCAAAAGAAAAATACTCAATTTATTACTTGGTATATTTTGTGGAGGTTTTCTTCAAGTCACTGATCTCCACCATGAGATTCTGATTTCCTTGGCTGATCATCTTGCACTGAATTACTTTCCCCTATGACTGGCTACAGTCTTTTGCCTGAGAAATACAAGTGTCCCCATTACATATAAAATTTAGAATTCATAGTGGAACTAGCCTTATTCTTTTCAGGGAATGCACATTGTTGCAATAAAAGCCAGTATAGGAATGTAATTTGTTCTGTATACACTGGAACTTCTCGTAATGTGCAAGTACTCCCTATATCCATATTGCACTGTGAAACTCTCTGCATTTCCGCTGACCTTGGTAACTCATCGAAAAGTAATATACTTCCTTCCTTAAATTACTACATCATTCGCTTTGATGGAAGGCATCTTCTACCCTGCTGCAATAAAGAGGCAAGTAATATCTGCAGGTATTAGCTGCTGTCAAAATAGGAAAGACACCTTTGCAGAAGACATGTATGCTGGCAAGTAATATAGTAGGTACTTTTTCATTATGTAAAAAAAAAAGCCTACCATTGTTTCTCAAATGCATTGAAATTATATCAGTATTACTTCGAATGTACAGAAACATGGGCTTCCTTTTGGTCCTGGCGGGCTGCAGCACTAAGTGTGTTTATTTGGGAGTAAGCCCCAATGAATTTACCTAGTAAACTTGAATAGGATCAGCTTGTATTTTGGGGAGGAGTTCCATAGAACTGAGGATTAAGAGCAGGATTTGAGAGTACCTGGCTACCCAAAGGAGGAATTCCAAAGCATTGTTCATGTGTTAGCTGTTGTAAATTTTCCAGGTTTCCAGCTAATGAACTCTGGCCGTGAAAGCCTTTGACAACACATTTTTCGTCTGTATGTTGGTTTGCAAGCCTCTTAGATTATTTGTAAGCTAATATGAATCTTTGGAGACCATGTATACCTCTGTCTGGTAGCATGCATAATAGCATTGTTCTATGACCCCATAAATCTCAGAGTGAAGGACAATTTCCCAAGATTCTTCACTTGCATCTCCCATTAGCAGGTGAGCCATACTCATGTAAGTGATTCAAGAAGTTGCGACTCAGAGGATAACTAACAAACTGTCCCAGTCTCCTTCGTGTTTGATTCCAGCAGTAAAGTATTGGCACATACTAGTGCTGTTTGGCAAAAAGCACTGTCACTGAAAGGGAGGCTGCCTCTGATTTTGAAGCCTTTTAAGTTCGTCCACAACCGTGAAATGAAACCTACTGTGATGAGCTCCATGTTCTGGATCCTTTTCCAAACGTTCTTCAGAATTGCCTTACAATTTGTGTGAATGCTCACTGGCCATAGTTGTAGGTGTTTGGGGTTTGTAATCTTCGAGAGGACGAACATATATTCCATTCCCTACAATGAATATTAAGTGGTGCCCTTGTCCCAAGCAAGATCCTGTTGATAGCCAACTGGAAAATACCAATTGCTGGCCCAGCAGAAGGTCAGACAGTGCTGGGAAGAATGAGCTGCCACGCAGGAACATTTAAGGAGAGGGAGTCATTCAAGTATGTGGCCACAAGTCATGAAGGGCTTTAAAAGGTGAGCACCAGCACTTTGAATTGGAATCAGAAACCACTCAGCAGCCAGTGAGGGGACCTCAGAATAAAAGTGGCATGGTCCCAGTGGCTAGCCCTGGATAAGAAATGGGCTGCTGCATTCTGCACCAGCTGGAGTTTCTGAATAGTCTTCAAGGACAGCCCCAGGTAGAGCATGCTGCAGTAATCTAGCCTCAGGGTTACTGAAGCATGGATCAGTGTCGCCAGGTTAGGCATTTTCCAATAGGGAGACAGCTTTCTAACTAGATGTAGCTAGAAACAAAACTTTTTTTTTTTTGCTTTCATGGGCACCTGTTTATGCAACAGGAGGTGAGGCTCCAGTAAGACTCCTAAGCTCTTAACCAACTCTTTCAGTGGAAGCTGCGCTCCACTGATGGACAGTCTCATTTAAAACAGTAGCCTTTCCAGCCAGCATCTCCTCCATCTTACCTGGATTCAGTGTTTTCTCTCAGCCGCTTGACCAGCACATTCAGACCCTGAGCCAGGATGGGGAGCAGCAGCCAGCACCTTATGCAGAAAAATATAGAGCTTGGTGTCATCAGCATACTGATGACAGCCTACTCTAAAGCTTTGGAACCAGTTTGATGTAGTGGTTAAGAGCGGCGGACTTGAGTCTGGGGAACTGGGTTTGATTCCCCGTTCCTTCATATGTAGTCAGCTGGGTGACCTTGGGCCAGTCACAAGTTCTTTCAGAGCTGTTCTCTCTCAGCCCCACCTACCTCACAGGGTGTCTGTTGTGGGGGAAGGAAGGGAAGGTGATTGTAAGCTGCTCTAGGACTCCCAAGTGAAGGGCGGGGTATAAATCCAATCTCCTCCCCCTCCTCCTCTTCCTCCTTCAGATAAATATTAAGCATATAGGGAAATAACTCAGCTTTGTGGCACCAACCATATCAGCTCCCAAGGGGACACTTCACTATCTCCTGTTGCACTTTTCTGTGAACAGTTTGATGGAGCTGAAGACTATAAACATTTTTTACACTGCTTGGCCTAGATCTGCTTCTCCTTCCAGGTGCCTCAGCAGTATAACACGGTTCACCATCTTTCTTTCGTAAATAACTGTAATAAATTGGTTATATAGCCCACATCAAATATGTCAACATAACTTTATCTTAATTCCCAGTTTCTAATTTCTCTTTTGTTCTAAGAAATACACTGAATGGTGTATGTGAATGCCTTTGCTTTAGTGGGAAATGTAAATAGTTAGTGACTTTGCTTCAGATTAAATATTACAAAAGGAAAAGGTACAATGAACAATGCAAATGGCCATCCTATTGTTTTATTTGGTTCTGATCTGAGCTATGTGCTAAACTTACAGAATGGCTTAACAGCAGAGAACCTCAACACAGTGCCCATGGGTAGCAGGGCTCAGTAGCAGGGCTCCCACCAGTGGGTTTCCAGTACACCATGATGTCTAAATGTAAACAACTGGGCCATCTGGAGACTGGCTCCTCCTCACAAATTTGAATCCCCCCCCCAATTTATTATTTTTATTTTCATATATAAACAAACAGACAACACTACAATTGTTAACCATATATCAACAAGATATAACATTACATAACTATAGGAGAATATTTTTAAACAAGAAAGTGTTTCTTTTACATAACTAAAAGATTGGAGTTAAAAAAACATACAGAAATATATCATGTGATGATTTCAAAATATAACAGTTTTTCATAATAGGGATTTTTTGGTACAATGCCACTATTTGCCAGATATTCTAATACAAATTTGAAATTTTAAGTTAGGATTAAATCTTTATTTGATTCCTCCCCACAAATGAAGATTCTTTGTGTGTGTGTGTGTGTGTGTGTGTGTGTGTGTGTGTGTGTGTGTGTTTGCACCTGGAAGTCATGTTGACCTCTGGTGACTGATTCCTACTGAAGGATATTCAGAGAGGTGGCTGAATAAAGCCTGCCCCGTCCTCCTGACTTGGTAGTCCAAGGAAGTCTCCCATCCAAGTACTAACCACAGTCGACCTTGCTTAGCTTCTGAGATCTGATGAGATCAGGCTTGCCTGGGCTATCCAGGTCAGGGCAACAAATGGGGATTGTGATCTCCAGTTTGCCCAGGTGCCGATATATATTTGTCATGGCAAATTTGGAGTGTGACAAAACCCTTTTAAAACCAGGAAGCTTTGACTACCCCTCTGTGTGAGAGGGTAGGAGAGAGGGAACACACAAGCTTGTCAACATGCTTTTATTTGTTCCTGTCTCTTGTCCAGTGCGTTTATACTGTCACTGATGATTTACACCTTGTGAAATATTTTTGGTACACCCGGTCTCTGAAATAATGTGTAGTACATTATTTTATATAAGAATATTATATTGTCTTTACTCATTCAGCCTTCTCCTATGTTATGTCCAACTCTTAATTAATTGGTACGCAGCAGCCCAGTTTTCATTTAGTTTATGTTAAAAGCAGGCTATGTCAAATGAGCTGTGAGGAAGCATCGTGTGTGTGATATCTGGAGATACAGCTTCTCTGTGTAAGTTTCACCAGAGAGAGCTACAGGCTTGGATTCTGTGGTAAATGTCTGCTGAGGGAAGGGCTTTCTGTGAACAGGACTCCTTCTTCTTGCCCTCTCCTACAACAGCCCAAAATTATCTCTGAAATGCTGCTCCTGGGGCATAGGAGACCCCGAGGAACAGTATGAGAGGGGAAGTTGGAGGTCTGCAGCAGTCGAGAGGAATCTATGGAAATTGGCCCTACTTAAGGCTGCTGGGTGTTTGGTATTAACCCAGATAGTCCAGTATTTTTCACTGATGTCCTGGAAAAAAACCCTGAAAAAATACCAAACATTTAAATATCTGGTATTTTTGTGAGGAAGCCTAGGTGGTACTGGGGATCTTCTGGTGGCCCAGCCAGAAGAAAAGACAGCTGGGCCAGGGAAAATGCCAGGATGTTGGTAGAGGGGCTGGGCTCGCTCCAACCCCTCTCTCCTTCAAAATGGCTCCCAGGGAAGGAGGCCAGCAGGTGAAGGAGGTGTTAGGGCAGAAGCGTGTGGTCAGTAGTGCCACCTCCAAGCCCAGTGTGAAGTTTGGAGGAGGCACCACTGAGCCCAAGTATGAATCACCAGTTGCTGGTGCTTTACACTTGGGCTCAGGACTCCTCCAAGACCGAACAGTGTGTTCAGTATTTTTGTTGAAACCCTGTGGCAACCGTGTGGCTGCTATGTGCTGCTGGGCTGTTCAGAACCGTTTCTCTGCCCCCAGTCTCCATTGTGCATTTCTGGGCAGTTGGCAGTCAAGATACTAAGGACTGCCTCTACTTGGAACAATGACTTGAAAACATTGTTTAATAAATTACAACTAATCGTAAACTTAGTTTGGAAACCATGGTATTTTAAATATATTTGAATTTAATCACTTTAAAGGCAAATGATTAACCAACTAAAAAGTGTTTAATTAATTGAGGGTCTTAAAGGAAACTAAATGGAACTTCATACATTATGTTCCTTATAGTTGTGTTGTGTTTGTACTGCCTTGTTTAAAAGGTGGCCAATGGAGATGCATGGATGTTCCTCATGGGGGAGCCTAATCAAAATTCAGCATGTCCTTCTTACTCTCCATTTGTGTTGGAGATGGTTGCTAGGTCTGGGTTGGGAAATACTTGGAGATTTTGGGGGTGGAGCCTGAGGAGGGTGAGGTTTGGGGAGGAGAGGGACCTTGGCAGGGTATAGTGCTATACAGTCCACCTCCTAAAAGTAGCCATTTTCTCCAGGGGAGCTGATCTCTGTTGTCTCACACACCTCCAGGCACCACCTGGAGGTTGGTAACCATAGGTGGTTACTTTTATTGCACTTATATGAATTCATAATTTCCCTGACTCTGAAACCTGTCCCTAGAAATAAATTGGGAAAGCACTACATAGGGGTGAATGTGGTACAACCTGGATTCGACGTTATTATGTATGCTTGAGCACTCCCTTATTTAAAGGAAACCGTTTTAAGAAGCCGTCCTGTTGAAACTAAGCAGGTCTGGACCAAGGGCTGCCAAATGCCCCCGGGGGGCGGATTTCCCCCCGCTTTCGAGCCCCGATTTCCGCCCCCGCGGAATCGGGGCCCGGGGGAAACCCCACCCCCGCGTGCGACGTCACATCCGGGTGACGTAGGCGGCGGGAGATAGCCTGGGGTCCCCCGCCGAGGAGGTAAGAGACATTTGGCAACCCTATCTGGACCTGGTTAGTGTCTACATGGGGGACCATGTGGTATCTTTCTGCATGCCAGCTTGCGCTCCCCGGAAGAACATAGTATTTTAAACTGTATGTAATACCATGTAATACAATTACAAAGCAGCAAACAGTGGAGGATACACAATTAAAGAATAACTGAATGTAACCTACTGAATTGAATTTCCAGCAGTGTGAAATAAAGGCACAGTGAGAGATGGGGTTCTACCTGTGATCCTTTTTCTGACATACAGAGTTCACAGTCATGTTCCCATTTTCATTTTTGAAATGCTGGAGGGGTATGTATTGTCGTCCCCTCCCCCCGATAGGGACCAGATAAGAGGAACATAGCCTTAGTATAGTTAGCAGGTCACTGGTACCTGTCGTCTGAATAGACCGAATACTGCGTCCTTGTCAGCATTTTAAACATTAGTATAATTGGACACTTTTGCGTGGTTAAGATGTTCTCCTTCAGGGTCATATTTTTGGTCATGATCTTGAAATACTTAATGTATTTTTCTGTGATGATAATGACACTTACTTGGATGGCATGTCGTATACCTATCTTTAATAGTTGCATTCAGACAAGTGTGAATGTAATAATCAAGTCTCAATCACACTGTGCATAGTCTGAGGAATATTGTGTTATCCAGAAATGTAGGCATTCATTGCCTTTCAATAAGGCCTTAATTTGACGCGTTGTAGAATCAAGAAACACGCCATTGATTTTATATCAGCATGCAAAGCACCAGGTATTTGTAATGAAAGAAATAAATTGCTTCTTAATTAAAACTGAATAAGGCAAAATCATGAATCTTGAAGATCTACATAGTATTAATACACAAGTAGCGTTTAAGATCTATTCTATACCAAGTGTGTTGTTGTTGGTTTTCTGCAAAATAAACAGGTCTGTAACATAAAGGTTTATCTGTTTGATGGGCTTTTCTTACGTATATTTTTTTTCCTGTTAGAAGAATTTGAAGCAGGAGCTGAAGTATTTTATTTTTTCTAATAAACTTAATTTTTTTTTGTTTCATCCCAAAGAAAATGTAAAAGAAATATTTGGGCAGACCATTATTCACCATCACATCCCCTTTAATTGGGACTGTGAGTTTATCCGATTGCACTTTGGACATAATAGAAAGAAACACCTGACTTATTCAGAATTCACTCAATTTTTACAGGTCAGTTATTTATATTTTTGTTATGATAATGATTCTCTTTCTTGTGCCTCATTAATGCTGTTGAACTTGCTATGAATTGATTTATGTCATGCTAAGGGACTTGCTGAGCTGATGATTGGCTAATCAAAATACAGCTGCAGTTACTTTCCCTGTGTGAGTCTCTTTAAGCCACACATTGTATGTCTTAATGTATGTATATTTGAGGAGGTGTTGTGTGGATGCTGTGGTCCATTCCACGAGATCATGGCAGGGATAGCTTTCTGACACCCTATTTCTAATAATAAAGATTTGTATGCCTGAATCCATGTCAGAAAATCAAGTTTGTGCTTATAGAGACCAGCTTTACAAGACTCGCTTGCCAGGGTACCTACTTGGTCTACAAGAAGCCACATGAAAGAAAAAGAACTCACCGAAGCCATTTGCCTTCTCTTGCTAAATGGATGAATGTGTTCAGTTCATGCAAAAGAGACAAATTCCGATCTACCATAAAATGATTGTGTCTGGAAGCCATAGAGGAGATGACTCTGAACTTGGTCCTGGTGGTGTTCTTTTCAGGGCCTGGTGTGAGATTTGTTGTACCAAATGGGAACGGTGATTTCATACTATTAGGTTCAGCATATATGTAAATGGAAACCTGCCCCAAACTTCCAATACAACCACACTTGATTTCCAAAGAGAACTTTTCAAACGTGAGGATATTGGTCAAAAGGGAGCTCTTTAGGAGGCTGAAGCAATTCTTACCTTTTCAGGATGGTTAGAAATGATTTAAATCCACAATAGTAGACGATCAGATAAAGTGTGTGTCTTAATGTAGGGAGTGTGCTACTTAATTTAAGAAGAGGCCAGTATGGTAAACTAACACAGTCAAGAAACCCATAGCAGGCAAGAAGGGTTATTTTTTTTTAAAAAGGAGGAGGGAGAGGAAAGTTTCTGGCAAATCCAATGTAAGACGACAAGAGGACAGGCAAAAGGAGACCAAGAGAAGCATATAGCTAAAAATGTTAAGCAAAAAGCACAAAAACAAGAATCCAGCCTGGATGGTGACAAAAAGGGCAGAAGGACGGCTAAAGAAGGACTGGTATCTGACAAAGGGAGCGTTGCCTCTTGAATACTTTGGAAATATTGTTGGTCTCTAAGGTGCTGCTGGACTTGAATCTTGCTATTCTACTGCAGACCAACATAGCTACCCTCTGGAAATAGGAGGCAGTTGCCCATGTCGGAGCAGCGGTTTCGAGAACATTATTAGAAATACTAAATCAAATACAGGTACAGAGGGACGAAGTTCTGGGGCACCAAGTTACTGGATCCAGATGGCAGATACCTGATGGTTCTTAAGGACCACAGATGCAAATATGTAAAATGTGTTGCTAAAATTGACCTTCCTTTCAGATGACTGAAGGGCAGTAATTATAATGTTTTAAAAAAAAAAAGAGCCAGAGGAGATCCAGGAAATTGCAGGGCAGTTATTGTAATGCCTTTGCCAGGTAAATTGGAAACCAAGACAGAATCATTGACCACACGGAGGAACAAGCTGTACTGAGGAAGTATCAGCATGGTTTCTCTGAAGGGAAGTAATGACTCACCAGTGTTTTGGAGTTCTTTGAGGGGCTTAGCAAGATGTTATATAGTTTGGGGGATTTTTTTTTAACCAAGTCCCTTGCCAAAGGCTCTGGAGTAAATTTAGCCGTGACAGAATGATGGTTTCTTTTGTGGATTAGGAACTGGTTGAACAACAGGGAGTAGGAGTAAATGGGGAGACTTTGCAGTGAAAGTCAGCCAGTAATGGGTTCCTTGGTGATCAGTGTAGGGGCCAGTCCAATGCCATTTAATTTGTTCATAAATGATGTGGAATTGGGGATGGAGCTGAGGTGTGGTGGCCATGCTTGTAGATGATCCTGAATTGTTCAGAATGGTGAGAACCAAAGCAGGTTGCAAGTAGCTCCAGAAGTGTAACAAATGAGATTCAGTGTAAATAAGTAGAACAAAAAATCCTAACTTTAAATGAACACCAGTAGGATCTGGGCTGTCAATGACTACCCAGGGAAGAGATTTTGGGATTCTTGGGAATAGCTCAGTTAAAATGTTGACTTAGTGTGTGGCAGCAGTGACAGAGGCATATTTTATGCTATACATAATTAGGAAAGGGGTTGAAATAAAATAGTATTGGGATGCCCACAAACAGATTTATAGTGCCACAGCATTTGAGTTACTGCATCCACGACCCTGTCTCACGAAATATACCACTACTTTGGAAAATATGCAGAAAATTATCCAACAAGGAAATGTCACAAAATTTGAGCATTTTTAGTTTAGCAAAAAGGTGACTAAGGGAAGACATGTTGCATGTTTTTAAACTAGTGCCTGGATGAAAGAAGCTGAATAGAGATAATTTTTCTCCCGCTTCTATAATGCTGGGACTCACAATGCACCCATGAATGTTGATGTATGGTAGATCAGGATGGACAAAATAAGTATTTCTTCACTCAAAGAGCAGATAACGTGTGGAATTAACTGCTGGGCTTTTAATGGGGTTCCATCCCCAGAATCCCCTACTCTAGCCTATAAAAAGTGTTACGACCTACTAAGGAAGGTAATAACAATAAAATTCAAAACAGTAGCAATTGATTGCACATTTATTCAAAATCAATATTTTTTTTTGTTTAATTTATTAAACCAAATTGATTAAGTTGATACAGTGATAACCAGGCTTTCAAAGTCTGATAGTCATTTAGCAAGAATGTTACATACCACATTTAGTAACTGCTTCACTGTTTAGCAAATGCTATGGATGGGCTTGATGAATGATTGATGATACCAATTTTCCAAAGTCTGGCTTAAAGTCCCTTAGCAGGAGTCTTAAATCACTATGTTCAGTAATCTGGAGTTGATTTATTGGCTTGGAGAGAAGTCGGATGACCACACTAAAACCACATTCCACCAAATATGATTTTAGAAATGCAACAAGGAGCTTCTTAACCACTGTCCTTAGTGCATGATAGCAATCAGAAATTTCCTTCTGTAATCAAAACTCTTTGGTACAATTTCTTAAATTTTTGCTTCAGCTCAATGTCATTTTGTAGCTCTTCCTCTACTACCCAGCCTTCTCAGTATCTGAAAATTGAGGGAAAATTTATTTATTAGATTTTAACCGCCCTCCCCCAACAGAGCAGGGCTCAGGGCTGGGTAAAACATGATAATTCATATAATCCGGGATTAAAAATTAAAAAACCCCAGTAAAACACAATAATTAAGAGATGGCATTAAAATTTCAACAGTGCCATTGCCTGACATGGAGGGGAGTGCCAGAGGATGCAACCTTCGCTGTCCTCAATCCAACGCCTGGCAGAACATCTCTGCCTTACAGGCCCTGCAAAACTCTTAACAAGTCCTGCAGGGCACGGATGTTATCCAGCAGAGGGTTCCACTAGATTGGAGCCAGGGTAATAATAATAAAAATTCTGGGAATCAGATGACAAATTATGCTATGTATGTATAAATATTGGGGGGGGGGGTGTTTAAGGTAGTTTTTTGTAAAATCAATTTACAAAATCGCTACACATTTAAAAGGCTGATCAAATTAATCCGCCCCCAGAATAATGCTTAACTGAGAATATGTGTCTTTGTGTCTGAAAATACAAAAAAATTATCGATGGATACTGGATAATACGTTGAAATGTTTGACAGAAGTAAATGGTATACATAGTAAAGAAATATGTCCTAATTGCACTAAAACAGCCTTCATGGAACTTTTATGATGTAATATAAAGGTAAAGGGTCCCTTGCTTGAAAGCCAGTCGAATCCGACTCTAGGGTTGCGGTGCTCATCTCCGTTTCAAAGCCGAAGAGCCAGCGCTGTCCGAAGACATTTCCGTGGTCATGTGGCCAGCATGACTAAACACCAAGGCGCATGGAACGCTGTTACCTTCCCATGCGGCACCCGGGTCTCGAACTGCTGAACTGCTGACCTTCCACAGCCTGCAGTTCAGCGTCTTAACCACTTGAGCCACCGCAACTCAATACTATGATGTAATATACAGTTATGAAAAAATTTGCAAATTTGAAAAAGTACATTCACACATTATGGATATTTAAAACTGAAGGTATTTTACCAAGGATTAATATTGTTACTTTGGGGGAAGTAAAAAGCCATGGAAGACCAAAAAAATTAAGAAAAATAATGGCTTGAGTTTAAAGGAAGATTTTGATATATTGCTTCCTTTTAATACTTTTAATTTTTTCTTTCATTTTATTACTGCAATTTTGAATAAAGACAATGTGTAATATTTTCTTTATAAAAGTTGGTCTATTTTTTATTTTTTTGCTGAAAATATACTCAGTTTCTCCCCAAATATTTGTATTTATTTATCATAGTTTTTTCCTCTTATTGGAATTATTATTATTTATACTCTAAATTTTCCATCAGTTACCCAAATTTTTTCTATTACCTCCTAAATTTCCCCCAAAAAAGTTCTTTCCCTTTTTGTAAACAGTTACTGAGAAAATTTAAATCCTTATATAATCTAGAAATATAAATAATGGGCAGACTGCGAAAAAAGTAGCACTCATATAGCTAAAAAGTATACTTCAGAGTCAACAAGTTCAGTAACTAAGAACACAGGAAAATAAATACCCCACTCAGGGGTCATTTCCTGCAGGAGCACACAGGAGCGGAGCTCCGGCAGTAAAGAGCCCAGGGGGTGGGCACATGCAACAAGCCCCACCCCCTGCTCTCAGCAGCCCTCAGTCAGAGCAAGAAACAGCCAGGTAAGTTGCAGAGCCCCCCGCCCCCCCGCCCCAAAACAGCCCAGTGGCACATTTAAGTCATAGTTTTATTCAGGTACAAGCTCTCCCTCCTCTGCGAGGACAGATCTGCACATCCCCCCCCCCAATAGCTAGCAATCCAAACCAGTCCAGTGGAGCCTGAGCGGTGGGTATTGCCTTCTGACACACTTCTGGTGATGAGTTATGCTAATGAGCTATGCTAATGAGCTCCTGCACCTCTTTTTCTACAAAATGACCCCTGACCACACTCAATACTATTATGTTACGGACTTGCCAGCAAAAACTTGAAAAATGGTAAGGAGACAAAAACACACACGGTGACAACAGTTTCTCAAAATGCGGTATACTGGTTTGACTAGAGCTCTGGTGGCATATTTACTAAAAATTCCGATAGTTTCTACTAGATTTCAGCACTATGCACAGGGAGAAACTTGGAGTGCCATTTGCCAGCATGGTGTCATAGCCTAATCAGTCATAAATAAGTGAACAATGTGGTTGAACAGCCCATCTCGAGCACCCCCATAGGTAATCCCCCCAGGGGCAGTGCAGCCCGCTTTGGGAAACACTGAGCTAGGTGGACCACTGCTCCGATCCAGCATGGCTGCTGTCATATTGTTGGTCTCTGTTTGATTGCAGTGTAATCCAACACAGTGTTTAAGTGAAAGATTTTAATGTGATCAAGGCTATGTATGTGCTGCTACCTCCTCCTCCCAACTTGTAACCCTAAGGGGGGGAAGTTCTGTGCCAAACTAAATTAAATTCTGTGCCAAGAAAAGTAAAATTTGCAACAAGTGTAAATTGTGAACGTTTTCATATAATGGCTTGTTCTTCCATAATTTATCTGCTAATCAATTAATTATTTGGGAAAGCCAAGAATGTTTTAAGTCTGTAGAAATTGTGAAGCCATCGTGGTGGGGAGGGGAGTTTTTGTAAATATAGAAATGTGGGGGAGAAATCAAAATAGATGCAATATAAGGAAAGGCAATATTTCCTGAGGTTTTGTTTTCCAGTATACCCCGTATTTCCCATTTTTCTATCAGATATCCCCCCTGATTTTTAGGTATTTTTAGATATCCCCTCCACATCTTCATATCTCTAGGCTGAAATACTGAATGGGGCACAAAAACCCTACTTTCTGGCCATAAACTCTACTAAGCAGCTCACCAGTTTCTGACATGTCACGAGATACCGTTCATAGCTTTTCTTGACAAGGGGTGGAATCTTGTGCACAAAAGAAAACATAAACTTGAGTCCTTATTTCTAGTCATGGTTCTCTGAGTTGGTCTGTATCACCTTCCAGCAGTCTGGGTCACAAACAAAGATGGTTGCATCCAGCACAGATTAGCATTCTTCCAGCAGCTGCAATGGTAGCATTTTGGTGTGGTGGTTAAGTGCGCTGATTTGTTTCCCCAGTCCTCCACTTGCAGCTGCTGGATGACCTTGGGCAAGCCATAGTTCTGTCAGAGCTGTTCTCTCAAGGACAGTTCTGGAAAGAACTGTCTCAGCCTCACCTACCTCACAGGGTGTCTGTTGTGGGGAGGGGAAGGGAAAGGAGTTTGTATGCTGCTGTGAGACTCAGAGTGAAGGGTGGGGTATAAATCCAATCTTTTCTTCTTTATTTTGGAAGTGCTGTTCAAAAATCCAGTCCTTACTGCTTTTCGTTAGTTTGTGGAGTAGTGAATGGTTCTAATCATTCTTATAAATTGTTGTAGCCAAAACTCTTGTTGCAACCACTTCCTGTATCTTTTTTTCTTTTTGCAGGAGCTGCAGTTAGAACACGCACGACAAGCATTTGCACTGAAAGATAAAAACAAAACTGGCGTGATTACCGGTTTGGATTTCAACGACATCATGGTCACCATTCGTTCCCACATGCTCACTCCTTTTTTGGAAGAAAACTTAGTCTCAGTAGGTGGCAAGAAATATTGGACTCAAGTTGCCTATGGCTGTTGTTCAGATAGAAATGAGTGTCTTCCAGTATTGAAAATTCAGCACTATACATTATACAGGGATGATTTTGCTGCAGTTCTGGGATTTTCCTAGGGTGCACCTGTATCAACAGTTATAAGCCAGGACAGGATTATTCTCCCAGTATTGGGGGAAGGCTTTACTTTCAATAACACTATTAGTTCCATAAGGCTGCACCTAACCAAAGTTTTCGTTCTGTTTTGTACACTACTGAAGGAAATTAGATCTGCCTCATGCTCTCTTCCAAGTATAACAATACTCTAGTTCAGCAGAGCATTTAGGGATGCCTTAAGGCCCTTGAAAAATGCTGAACGAGTCCAGTATTGTTGAACATATTTAAGATGACAAGTGTTTTATACATGCACATGCTCAAAGATATATATATCCTCTGCTGCTGGGGAAAAAATGCAGGCTGTTGGAGTCTTGCTGGGTTCCACCCCCCACCCCCCAGATGGTATTGCAGAGCAAACTTGGAAAACTTGTCTTCTCTTTCAAGGTCCTTTGTGGAGTAGATCAGTTGAAGTATATAACTTTACTGCTTTGTGAGTGTGTGAAATTCTTTGAGAACAGCTGCATCTGATGCACACTAAATCAAGGTTAAGCAATCTAGTTGATTCTTCTTTATCCAAAAGGCTTAGTTATTCAACAATTCAGATTATCTGCTATAATTTCTGTTCTGTGCATATCTTCATGTCAGGATTACTTTCCTTTATTCCCGGCCTGCACTGCTGCACTGGCTGTCCATCTGTTTCTGGGTGCGATTCAAAGTGCTTGTTCTTACCTTTCAGGCCTTAAATGGCTTGGGGGGGGGCAGAGTACTTAAAGGGCCATCTCTGTGCTACGGTCCAGCCCACCAGCTACGATTTTCCTCAGAAACCCTGCTCTCTGTGCCCCACCTTCAGAGGTGAGGTAGGTGGCAACGAGAGACAAGGCTTTTTCAGTGGTGATACCTAGGGATGCCAGTCTCCAGGTTGGACCTCAGGATCCCCTGCTATTACTGCTCATTTCCAGACTACACAGATCAGTTCCTCTGGAGGAAATAGATGCTTTGGAGGGTGGACTCTGGCATTGTACCCCACTGAAGTCCCTGTCCTCTTCAGGCTCCATCGCTAAATCTCCAGGAGTTTCCCAACTTGGATCTGGCAACCCTACGGCCCACCCATCCCCTGCCAGTGGCCGGGGGGACACTTGGCAACCCTTGTGACAACTCATGTGGAATGCCTTGCCCCTTGAGGCCTGCCTGGTGTCTATCCTAGTGCCCTTTAGGAACCAGGCCAAAATGTTCCTTTTGACCTAGACTCTTAATTAAGGGGATGATCTTTTAACAACATATTTATTGTGTGATTCTAGCCTGAGAACTGTTTCATGAGATTTGGCTGGGTTTTTAATCATGAACAGCTTTTATGGTATATTTTCATTATATTTCACTTCGTATGCTGCCTCAAGCAGGCTCTCTGGGAAGGCGACATAATGAATTTTCTAAATAAGTAAATAAATCCCTGATCTAAATGTCTTGATGTTCTTCTGGCTAGTCAAATAAAGGAACTGGTGTAACAGAGTGCAGGCTATCTTTATTGTACTCCTAACAATAATTTTCCTCCCTGTAGTGGAATTGAATGAACCTCATAAAGAGTGCTATATAAAGTTCTGTATGAAGCCTATATAAAGCAATTTCTTCTTTGGTTCTGTTTTGTTTTGTTTTTCCTCCTAGGCTGCAGGTGGATCTATTTCACACCAAGTCAGTTTTTCCTATTTCAATGCTTTTAATGCCTTGCTGAACAACATGGAGCTTGTTCGAAAGATATACAGCCTCATAGGAGGTGCTAGGAAAGATGTGGAAGTTACAAAAGGTAATTCAGTTTGCGTCAATAACTGCAGTAACTAAAGATAGAGCAAGGAGGGCAGCTGTGTTGGTCCGAAGCAACAGAACGACGTTTTAGTCCAGGGGCACCTTTAAGACTAACAAAGTGTTATCCAAGGTGTGGCCTTTCGTGTGCAGGCACACTTTGTCAGACAATGAAATTGAATTACAGATCATAGTTGTATATATATGGGTGGCTTGTTAAATTAGCATGCAAAATAGTAAAGATGTTTATTAACAGTTCAAGAGCTTGTCATTCTTTTGATCTGTTAATAAATATCTTTACTATTTTGCAAGCTAATTTAACAAGCCACCCCTATATATACAACTATGATCTGTAATTCAATTTCATTGTCTGATTAAATGTGCGTGCACACAAAAGCTCACACCTTGAATAAAACTTTGTTGTTCTTGAAGGTGTGCCCCTGGACTCTAACTTTATGCAGTCAATAAAGTTGGTGATATTGGAGTGGATCCAACCATTCTCTTTTCTTTTTTTCCCCATCCCCCTGGGGGGAGGTTTTTATTGGGGGGGGGGTTCAGACTACAAAACTACAACAGAAAATATAGGAAAAGGAACTACATCTAGGGAATAAAGAAAAAAAGACCCACAACTAAATAAAAACCCAAGAGTAGGAGATCATACATCATCTTAAAACCATGCTATTTTCAAAAAACTACTAATAATACAATGAATTTAGTCAGTTATGCTAGATTAGTTATCGTTTAACCATCTCTTTAACTGTTTAAAGAAAATCCCGGAGCATCCCCAAGTTATTTCAACATTTTTTCAGGCACAAATCAGAGTCCTTCAGCCCTTATTTATTCTTACCTTTTCTAATTCTCAGTTTATAAGGGCTTTTGGGGCAGCCGTCCCCTTTTCAGAGGGGGAGTCCTTGTCCAAAGACCCCAAGCCCAACTCGCCATCAGATTTGCTTTCTTTTTCCTCCTCTTTGCCCTCTTCCAGACTGCTGCTGAGCAGGGCTTCCCATGTTCATGAGCAGCCGCTCACACGCACAGCTTAGAGAGAACACTGCTGCCCAAAGCTATCTTTAAAATACCAAAATCTGGCTACTGCCTGCTTGATATTTCCCAAGCTTCCCACTTTTTTTTTTGAATCCCCCTAAGGGGAAATTTTTATTGATTTTTTTTTAACAGACTACAAACTATAACCAAAAATATAGGAAAGGGGACTACATCTAAGGAGAAAGAAAAAAGACCCATACTAACTAAAAACCCAAGAGTAGAAGATCAATACATCAGCTTATATCAATGTTATTTTTAAAAGCTAATAATACAATGAACATAGTTGGTTATGCTAAGTTACGTATCGGTTAACCATCCCTTTAACTGTTTAAAGAAATCCCCAGAGCATCCCAAAGTTATTTCAACACCTTTTTTCTTTTTTTCAGGCACAGAGTCCTTTAGCCCTTATTTATTCTCATATTTTTGAATCCTCAATTTATATGGACTTTTGGGGGCAGCCCCGCCCCCTTTTCAGAGGGGGAGTCCTCGTCCGAAGACCCCAAGCCCAACTCTGATTGCCATCAGATTTGCTTTCTTTTTCCTCCTCTTTGCCCTCTTCTGGTTCCCCAAGCTGTGTCGATCCAACCATTCTCCAAGAGACTTTCCTCCTGCCTAAGGAGCCATCCTCCAAATTAAGTGGCTCTTTCTCCAATGCCTTCTCCCATATGGACCTACCTGTTCACTGTAGTCATCTTCGGAGGTCCTGCTTCGGATGCTGCTGCCATCTGAAGCTAGGCTGGTGGCAACCTGAGAAGGGGCTTTCTCTGTCATGGCACCAAAACTTTGAATCTCCCCAAGGAGATTTGTCCATCTCTCTCTCTCTGTCATCTGCCAGTGGGTGAAGACTTCTTTTTAAAGATATGCTTTGCTTTATTAATGACATACAGACTGATTCAGCATTTATGCAATAGGATGAGATGGGCAGTCTCTAGACCGTGGATTTGATAATACACACCAACCCTGGCATGTGTTGGGAAAAGCACCATTTGTTCCTTAGGCTTGCTTGCCTATAGCAGTGACCCAATCCTGCATGAAACTAGGATCGGGTAGGTAAATACAGCATTACATTGCTTCCAGCATCATAGACAAGACACACATTGACTGATGAGTACAGTGGGAGAAGACGGATTTTTCTAAGTAGCCAGTGAATCCTAAGATGTATGCCCTTTTTATACATCTGTAAAGAGACAGGTGCCTGAGGGCCTGAAAGCCCAGGTTCTACTTTGACTGGTTCAGTTACTACCTGTCAGCTATTGGGTAACAGATTGGCGTGGGGTGACAAGCTGATAAACTTGTGTAGGTCCAGGGTATCCACCAGTGGAGCCAGTCTGCTGTGGTGTTTCAAAAGGTGCCTCATGCCACAGAATGGCAGAGGTATGGTCGATTTACCTCATGACATGTTATGGACTGCAGGTGCTCTGTAGCAAGATTGTAATAGGATAGTGTAACTTCTAAGGTGCTCCACCCATATTTGCCACTGTCATTTTTTTTGCTTTGTTCCATGTACCCCCAGAAGCGGTCCTCCTAGTGTTGTGTGTTTTTAATTAAATTATTTTATAATAACTGTATTTTTAATTGCTCAAATGTTTTAATGTTTTCTATCATCAGCCCCTTGTGGACCATGATCGAGTGGAAAGGCAGCATAAAAATGTTTTAAATAATTTGATTAAATGTAATTTCTTTGTACTTTATAAAATAAAATTTACCCCAAAAAAGTGTTTTAAATAAATGTGTAAAATGTACAGATAGATGTGGTGGAGGTGTTATTTAGTGAGTGCTTGCCTAATCTGCGGTCCAGTTGTTATTGGATTTAAGCTGTCTATACCCTGTTCGCTTCGGAGACAAAACTGATTTTGGTTCAGGGAGTTTCTTCAAAGCTGGCTGGCTCCCTCTAAGCTGTGGAGACTTGTGAGCAAGAATTCTACTTTGTGAGCTAGTGGCATTAAAGTTGTGAGCGAGTAATTTGGCTGCTGCATCACTTAGTTTGCTCTGGAGCCATCCTTCCTGAGCTAAGACAAAAATGTGTGAGTCGGAGGCTAAAAAACTGTGAGCCAGCTCACACTAACTCAGCTTAGAGGGAACACTGGTTGTGGGCATGACGCTGAGGCTTCAGTCCTTTTTACAGCATTGCTGTTTCGACTCGTTCACTAAATAGTGGATTATGTTCAATTTGGTGCTTTTTATTTATTAAAACCTTTATATCCCACCTTTTCTCTTGGTTCAAGGGGGTTTACAATAATAATAGTTAAAACATCCCCAGCTAAAACCAAAGATTCAATTGGTTGCTTGTTGCACAGTTGGTGCTCTCATTGGTACTCCTTTTGCTTAGGGGTTTGGCTCTTGCTTCCCTAAGGCTTCACCCGTGGTGAATTGTGTATTAAAAATTTATAAATCATTAAGCACAGTCAGGTTACTTTCTATCCTTCTCTTTAAAAACAGAGGAATTCTCCCAGTCTGCGATCAAATTTGGACAAATTACACCTTTGGAAATTGATATTCTCTATCAGCTGGCTGACTTGTACAATGCTACAGGGTAAGGATAACCTACCTTTCATATTAATATTTCTCAGTTATTCTTCCTACATGGATTTAAAACAAATACTAACAACTGCAGACTGAAATATAACATGTGAGCCAGAGTTTGTTTGTTTATTTATTTATTTATTCGATTTGTTATCCCGCCCTAACCCCTAAGGGTCTCTGGGCGGCTTACAGGGAGTGCTAATCACATTACCGAATCTAACCTAGGGCCACAGATATACAGGGGTGGTGACAACCCTACCAGGCACCCTAGTTGCGGCGGATCTTCGGTTGTTGTTCTGTTCTTGTTCTTGCGGCGGTAGTCAGTGGCGTCCTTTCCTGGTGCTGGTCTTCGAAGTTTCTTGCTTCCGGCTGTAGCGATTCATTTCCAGCCAGGACCAATCGCACTTCCGCGCATGCTCCGCTTGCGGCCTCTGTCCTAATGAGGCTCCGGCCTGCCGCGCTGCTCCGCTTCTGTGCTAGTTGGTCTGGCCCCTTCACTCGCTCGCTCCTTGCCTCGCCAGCCGCCATGTTCTCCGCCGCTGCTGCCACTGCTCCGCTACTCACGCTGCCGCCACGCCACGAAGGACTGGGTGACTTCCACCCATGGAACATGACTTTCATGGCTTCAGCCTTCTGTGGCAACCCAAAATGCACCCCCCCCAATCCTGCTCCTGGGTGAGATGGATCCCTAGAAATAGGATATCATAAAGCATTTTGGATGCTGGATGGGGGGACACTGCCTATGAAAGCACTGTGCTAGAGAGAATTGCCAGTCCAGTGCTAGCAACTGGCAGAAGACTGGACCTAATGAGACATCATTGTGTAATGCCATGACATAACTTTTGGCTGTGTGACCAGAAGTGTCATCTGACACACTAGGATTTCTCCAAAGCTCTGTGGTAAAGATCATAGAGATTAGGGGAATTCTGGAGCATTGTGTGATGCCATTTATACCACCCCATCACTCCACTGAGCACTGGCGGGGAATAGGGAGTACCAGTGGGGGATCTCCTACTCCTAGTGAGCATCTAGCAACCTTGGATCCCACCCTATTATCTCTGTACTTGTCCGTTGACTTCCCACAATTCTTTTGCCCCCTGCTTGTTACATGTAACAAAGATTTCTTTTCCGTGAACTTGCATACAGACGCTTAACGCTGACTGACATTGAGAGAATAGCACCCTTGGCTGAAGGGGCATTACCTTACAACTTAGCAGAACTACAGAGGCAGGTAGGTGTCCTCAACAAAATATAAAAACTGAACAGTTCTAAAAAAATGTGTGGTGGATGCTGAAAGCCTCATCTCCTGAAGTAAAAATATTATGTTTATTCCTGTTGAAAGACTGACATGAAATATGCATTTATAGTTTCTTTGATCCACAGGCTTGTGTGTGTACGCCTTACAGTGAAGTTTTTGTTTCAAAATCCAAGCCTTTGACTCCTCCCCCAATTTATGTTCAAGCTGTTTTAAGTAATGTAATGTATTCAGATGCTGCCCTGAATGCATTAGGAGGTATGTAAATCCTCCCATAGAGAAGCCATGCAAAGCTTCAAGCTTCGGCAGGGATTCGCGCCGAAAAGTATTGTGGCCAATCAGATTTGAATGTTTGTAAGCGGGACCGCTTATGATTGGTCGTTCATGCGCACAACCTGATAGGTTGGTTTAATGTACAGTAGGTGTGGCTACATTAGCCCGGAATGTTTAAATACCGAGCAGCTGAAATGGACAAGCTGTTCGGGCTATGAGGAGTTGTACCGTGTCAGAAGAAGTCGATTGAAGAGCTGAATAAACCTGAGTTTTCTGAAATCACTCTCTGACTATTTTGTTAAGTACGGACTTAACAATTGGCGACGAGGATGGGATACAGGAGCGGGTAGGCAGCCCCGCTGGTCCCGACCCAACGACGGACTTAACAATTTGACCTGAGGACCAGTGAGAGGGGACCTGCCTTTGGTCCACACACATTCCCACCTCCTACCCTTGTAAAGCTCATCTAACAACTCCCACCAAGCTTCTTTAAATAGAAGACTGTAAAAAAAGTCACTTTGAGGGTTTGGTAGGAATAGCTGCCTAAAGGGAAAATCAGAAAACATTCTGCTCCACGCCTAGACAGTGGTGACGAGGCCTCTTGGGCTGCTGGCCAAAGTGGTCAAAAGGATGTCCCTCCTAATCATATGAAAAGGAGTTGGGTCACTTCCTGTCATTAAAGGTGGCTGCACTTGTTTGTGTTGCTGTGTTAAAATCGACAAATATTTTTTTAAAAAAGAAGCCTACCTGCAGCAAATCTAGACATTTGCATGGTTTGAATCAACCTGCCAGATATTGATGGTTGAGGAAGATAAAACACAGTCTTCTGTCAAATTATTTTATGAGTCTGTGTATGCAGATGTCAGTATTTTGCAAATGATTACATTATCTGGATTGTTTTGTATTGAAGCTCCTCTTCAGAATTAACTTGTCTGGTATTTCAATATGTCCCTTCTGTTGCCTAATAACAGTCTTTCTTTGTTAATTTTTTTTTTTTTTACAATCGGAACATGAAAGATTTGTTAAGACTAATTATTGTTCATGGAGATTGACCAGGACAGTTTGGCGAGACTGATTATTGAATTTTGCCTCTTTTGTTTGATCGTTGTTAGGCCTTGTTTCCATGGCAACCAGAGGGCGATAACCCCCATTTTGATGTTGACTATTGGAAAATACTGCATTAAAGTAGTCCTGTTAAAGTAAATGGAACATCTATGGAAAAATTAGTTTACAGGGGGTGGCTCCCGCATTTGTAAATTGCTGCCTACTGAAAAACTCTTCCTGGAACCTCTCGTTCTTTGGGAATGATTAAACATTTAATAATACTTGGACCTGAGTCAGCTCTCCCACATAGGATGATGTCAATCACATGGACTAGGAAAAGATGTCCAGCAAAATTTAAGTTAGAAAGTCAATGGAGGCTCAAGGAAAGAGATCCTTCCTTTGATGCTACATTAGCACAGTCTGGGCGGGGAGGACAGGAGGAGGAATTTCTTTTCTGCAACCCATAATAACCTGAAAATATTCACTACTAGAAGATATGGTGATGGCTATTTGTTTTTATATGCTTGTTTTTTAAAAAAGGATTAAATAAACCAATGGACTGACTTCCATTAGCTTCTAGGTATAATAGCGAAAAGGGGGAACTCCATGATCAAGAGCAGTATACCTCTGATTACTGCTGGGCAGATCAAGCAACAGGGACAGCTATGTTGATATGCCTGGTTCATTTGTAGAGTTGCCAGTCTCCAGGTGTTGGCAGGAGAACTCCCAAAAAATGGCTGCTTTGGAAGGAGGACTATGGCATTATATCACATTGAAGTCCCTTCTCTTTCCAAACCCCGCCCTCCTCAGGCTTCACCCCCAAAATCTCCAGGTATTTCCCAACCCAAAGCTGACAACGCTATTAATTTCCTTTTCACAGATGCACAGATCTCTGGAGTCTTAGAAATAATCCTTTGTACATGGACTTGTATAGCTCTGTCTGATTGGCATGCAGGACTTGGGTTAAAAACCAACAATGACTAGAAACACTTTTGACATGTGTAGAATTTCCTTTTATATTATGAGGCAACTTAGAGCTTCTTGTAAAAACAATATCTGAGTCATAATCTGAGCATTAGGAGAGAGACAAATTTGTATTCTGTCTGCGTTATTATGAACTAACGAGGACCACTTTTTAGGCTTGGTCTATGAAAGCAGCACAAAATAGACTTCTGAGTAGTAGAACACCATTTTTGAATCTATGCCATTTTTGAATGTTGGCCCATGTAAAAAAACAAAAACACACACTCCCTCTGAGTAAAAACTTAAGGGGGATAAGTTCTAATATAGACCATGCGCCTTTTCCATTTGCAGAAACTCCCCCCCCCACAGGAAAGCATTTAAAAACATGGTCTCCCCACTTGTATCTACCACTTGTACCCTGAAAATGTTCCTAAGAATCCACCACCTACTTCATGCAAAAACTAGGCCTGAGGTTCCAAATGTGGCCTATATTAATTTTGTTTAAACACAAAAACATTTAGACCCTACCTTTTGTCTCTTGGCTCCAGGTGGCTTATAAATAGCTATTAAAATATCACAGATTAAAACCAAATAATTCCCCCCCCCCAGTATCCCCCTCCACTCAAAGATGCCTGCTGTTCTCGTCCTATCAGAAGTCCTGGTAGACAGACAAGGGGGCTATATTGGGGGGGTAAACACAGTCTGATGTGGTCGCCTGCTGTGCTGCTGAGCAGGGGAAAATGGAAGCCTCTTGGGGCTTGGGCTCAATGCTCCCTCTAAACTGTGGAGTCCTGTGAGCAAAAATTCTACTTTGTGAGCTACCAGCATTAAAGTTGTGAGCAGGGAGGTGATTTGGCTACTGCATAAATTCGTTTGCTCTGGACTGGAGCCATCCTTCTTGAGCTAAGACAAAAATGTGTGAGCCGGAGGGTAAAGAACTGTGAGCTAGCTCACACTAACTCAGCTTAGAGGGAACACCGCTTGGGAACCCTCTGTCAATATGATGGGAAGGTTGATTACTCTCCTGTTCAGTTGCCTCGGCCCTGTGGTGCAGAAGAGTAGGCTGCTTGACTTATGGAAATTGGTGCTCTCTCCATTGGGCATAGATTAATTTTTAACTTTTTTTATTAACACCCCATTTTTGACTGTTCAGCATAAAAAAGCTAGCCTTTATCAACACCCCATTTTTGACTGTTCAGCATAAATAAAGAAGCTGGCCTTTCAATCATATCTGCTGCTGGCATTATCACTGAAAAATTTCCTTTGTCTGGTTCCTAAACGTCTGTGTACAGTGGCTTCGTGGAGAGATGCCAGTGACAGTAATTTTCTATTTATAAATATTCATGCTCTGAAAGCCATAGCATTAATTATGCTAATTTACACATCCTAACTCAACACAGGCGTGCTACCAGCTATAGTAGGTGCCTTCATAAATAGGCTGAAAGTTATATTTCCATTACTAGAAAAGAGAAAGCAGGCACAGAGAGACAAACCATTGGGGCATACATTAGCATGCAATTTGGGGTTAGGAGTTTCTTGAGGATTGTAAGGAACAAAATAAACTTGGAAGGATTAAGAGAAGAAGGTACACGGAGTGCAGTAAAAACTTCAATCAGGGAAAGCTTCTATTTCCCTCCATTTGTTAATTCTCAAAACCCAACAATAGTTTCAAATACCAGCGGTTCCTTTGGTGTAGTGGTTAGGAGCATGGACTGTAATCTGGGAGAACCAGGTTTGATTTCCCACTCTTCCACATGCAGCTCTCAGTTCTCTCAGAGCTCTCTCAGCCCCACCTACCTCACAGGATGTCTGTTGTAGGGAAGGAGATTGTAAGCCGCTCTGAGACTCCAAGTGAAGGGCAAGATATAAATCCAGTCTCTTCTTCTCTCTCTCTTCTCTTCCTTTGGAGAGAGCCGGGCCGTTCCCAAAGAAATAAACCATGCAGATAGAATGCTTGGAAGTCTGGGGTGTAGACTTGTCACATCAATCAGTAAAGGCAAAAATAAACTGTAGGAATTATGTCCCAGTGTAGGAATTTGCTGTGAGCGTGTGCTCATGGGTGGACACAGAGAACTGTTCTGTCCAAAAGTGCTGTCCCATTTACTTCTTTTGCGTAGCTTAGTATGGACATCTGTGGTGCGTGTGGTTGAAGTGAATGGGAAAAGGAACTCTGTGTGAGCATCAGAGCATACTTGGAGCTCAGGAGCAAGGTAGTTCTGTTGGTTTGGGCTTCTAAGCTCCCATTCTGAGGAGTAGCAAGACCCTTACAGAGTAACCCTTTTCAGATGTTACATCCATGAGTACTGGGAGCCTCCTGTCCAAGCAGAGACCCTCTTGATATGCATGGCCACCACATTGTCTGAACATGAGCACACATGGGCTTACAG